CTTCTGAGGCCCAACTGCAAAAATTGTATGTACCAAAGAACATGGTCAGGCCTTATGTGGCTTACATGTAGAAATGTGGGAGTTGTAATTTAAACTATAATACCTTGACAAAGATCCCGAAGAATGATTGACGGAAGCCCAATCCTTGAAGGAAGAACTACAGGCCCAGATTCTACAGTAGGTAGCCTCAGACAAAGAAATGGTGTCTGTAAAAATAAAGAGATATATGTGAGAACACCTCAGTAAGCAGGTTGAAAAGTTTTGGTGACATTTCAGAAACATTTCAGTAGGATTTCAGTATCTCATTATTCTCCTGTAGCTTATACTGTATATAATGACTGAGTGGTGATTGTTTCCTCATTACCTCCATGAAATGGAAGGTATTGTTTTTGGCGCGTCTGTGTGCGTGTATGTGTGTGTGTGTGTGTGTGTGTGTGTGTGTGTGTGTGTGTGTGTTTGTGTTTCTGCATTTTTGTACCTTCATAAGTCCATAACGCCTTCATGGATTGTGGTGATATTTGGTATGCTGGTAGGTCTTAGGAGGGCGAAGGTCAAGGTCAAATATGGGCCTACTGGTGGGTGGCCTTGGTACTGCAGCAGCACTTCCGGTTTAAGGTTGAGTCAGGGCGAGGCAGGGTAACAGATGTGGCTATGCCCAGCGAGGCAGCGCGCTCCCTCAGGGGAATAGGTGACCTATTTCAGGGCAAATGTGGCAGTGCCACTGTATGGCTGTGTGTTTGAAAACAAACAACCTGTGTTATTACCTCAGTGAAAATGGAGGTATAATTGTTTTTGTTGCGTCTGTCTGTCTGTCTGTCTGTGTGTTTGTGTCTCCGCACATTTGCGGCCATGCCAACATAACTTCATAACGCCTTTATGGATTGTGATGATATTTGGTATGCTGGTAGGTCTTAGGAAGACGAAGGTCAAGGTCAAATATACGCCTCCTGGTGGATGACCTTGGTACTGCAGCAGAACTTCCGGTTTTTGTATCTTTTGTCCTGAATATGCTATGGTCTTGATTTTTTGGTGGCAGATAGATTATCCTGTCTAGTAAGTGGTGTGGGTTTGGTCCCCCTAGCAGCTTGTTCTGGAACTGCAGGGGACTTTTGGGCGAAATCTTTAAAAGCCAATAAGTCCAGATAGAAACAATGTATTTTCATCATTTTTGGTAGGTAGGTAGCTGAGAGAGAGATGTACATAATTAACTGCAAATTATGCAAATGAGGACTTAATTTGCATAATTAATGAGGAAATTCTATAATTACAGTGTTTTGCATTATAGTACTTTCATACATGTAATGTACTAGTATGTAATCTATGGCAGATGGAACATCACCAGATACCAATTATGCAAATGATGACCTAATTTGCATAATTAATGCGAAAATTCTATGACTCCTTAGTGGTAAATGATGGGAATTTCATACTTGGTACATGTGTAAGTTAATCAAAAGTTAACATCACGATGCATTTATTATGTTAATGTGGAGATAATTTGCATAATTAAAGAAGAAATTAACATTTACATGTCAAGCCCATATTTCATGGAGGTATGAGATCTCGGAACTCTTGTTTTCTATGTTTTCTTTCTTTTGTGATCTATACCTATACACAGATTAAAATCGGTGTGGTCTAACAACACATCACCTTTATAAGAGAGGGTACATATTATGTAAGTACTAAAACTGTGAAGAGTTGTCCCGAAAATGTGAAGAATTGTTGTTTATTGACGACAATGAGGTTAAATAGTTGACGCTTAATAACTTTCTTGTTTGGATGTGGTCAGA